GAGACAAACTGATCGGACTTAAGGGAAGAGGGCTGCGGACTTGAATCAAGACTACTGGCACAATGGGTGGAGGATGAGGGAAGCAGGAGGGAGTGTAAATAGGTTTCACTAAATCTGCTCATAAGTGTACGTCTAAATTATATGGCATGTATGCACCATATTTCGCTCAAGGCGATTAATGACTGGTAGTTGAGTATATATGATGCTCCCACTGAATTTCACACAGCCTTGCTTTCGGAAAAGATGTTCTCATCCAGGCTCAAATACACGGTATTTCCCACCTGGCCTAGGTCTTATCCACACCCCCAGCGGGGGTCAAACCACGACTGTAGTGTGTAAGCTTGACAACAACACAACATTGTAACGACCTTGGGTGACAGGACAGGTGTGAATTTCAATAAGGGCCAGGCGCTTTCCCATTTCATATTCTTTGGTGAGATTGTCGATGGAGCAAAGCTCTTTCAAAAAAACCTGATGAACATGAGATTGAAAGAGGGGAAGTTCAGCGATAATTTCGCGTACTGCCTGGGCAGACTTGGACATTCAGCGAAAACATAAAAAACAAGACGCTTGGACTCAGGACAACTGTTAAAAAACATGAAGAGGCATCACAAAGGAGCGGCTCATGAGGAACAAAAGGAAGTCAAAAAAAGGGAGAGGAGTCAAATCACGAATCGGCCAAAATGTACCCAGGTGATCTAGCTGTGAAACATAGGATATTAGATAGTTCAGCTATGTGTGCATGGGTGTTTGTGTGTATTTTTAATGTCTGCCAGAAGGGGAGGTGACTGGTGACGTGCTTGACCATGGGGGATACCAGCCAACACACGCACACATGAACATCATCCTAGTACTCTAGGATTAGATTGGAATGTCAAATTAAGAGATTAGAGGAGTGTGATTTTCGCGATTCAAAGGAAAAAGGGAAGCCATACATTTTCAGACCAGCGGTTATGACTTAAGCCGGACACAGTGCTCCAAAGAATGAGAGACTATCTGAATGGGGATGATGGAGAGGATAACTTAGTTATGAGTTGGAAGCCTATGGAGAGGAAGATTCACAGGCACTGGCATGTGTATAATCTGCTCTAAACCCCAGAATGTGGCATAATCGAGCACGGCAATTGAAGTTTCTTAAGCAGCCAGATTTCAGACAACCAAACAGTGATTTTGATGTGTAGCAGCGAATTTCACATAGCCTTGCTTTCCCAAAAGTTGTTCTCATCCAGGCACCAGTGGACTGCAGTTTCGACC